TGTTCCAGCTAATGTATCTTACGTGGTTTTTTCTTCACTCGTTTGCACGTTTACCATCGGTATCCATTACCTAATGTTTTTGCTTTTCCCAAACACAATGCTGAAAGTGCATAAATGGTTGTAATTTTTATTTATTAAATTAAAACTAAATTTTGCTGCATGATTAATACGTACCTAGAAAGTATTTTTACGTAAGCATACGCACATAGTATTTACATACATATGTAACTAATTTTAAATAATTTAATCTGCCTTATACATATGTATGTAAGCATATTTCTATGAAAAAGTAATCGACTGCTCGAAACAAAACTTTCTTCTGGAGGTAAAAATGTGGAAAAAACGAGTTTCACACGAACATTTTCGAAGTACTCTCGAAGCATTACAAGTAGCTAAGTAGTAGAACGTCTTTTGGGAATGGTCGGAGGGTTAACCCCCTTACATCCGATAATCGTATCATGAAGAAATTAACGATAATCATAAATTTGTATTTGAGAATTAAAATCGGTTTTGTTTTTTGCTTAAAAATTACTTTTTAAACTACTAAATATACGTTCTACTGAAGCATTAGAAAAGGGCTATATTAGTAATGCAGATATAATTTTTTTTTATTTGGAAAGTTATATGAACCTCAAGATTCTTTTAATTCAAAAACTTGTTTCCGAAAATTTTCTGGATCTAATGAAGAAGCAGTATGAATATTCTTATAATCGAACAATGCGTGTTCTCTACATTCATTATCGAGATTTTTCAAGTTCAAAAGAAGTTGAAGATATAGAGATAGAATAAAAATTATCGAAAGCGAAATATCCCTTTTTCTTAAAGCTATTTTTGTTGTATATGGAGGTGTTTGAAGGTTTGACAAGCCGTTTGAAATATGAACAAAAATGAAAACTTTTTGATTTTCTGGTCGCCATGTTGACGTTTGATCAAACCGCTTACATTTGTGTATGGTAAAATCGCCTCACTCGCAACGAAATTTTCCTCTAATGAGGACGCAAGAGAGAAAAATCGAAGACAACCAAACTCTTTTACATTGGTTGAATTTCTTTATTCATTCTGAACGTTTGGAATAAACTTTTTTGTTTACTTATTCTTTAGAACGTTCCTGATGATATGTTAACGTATATTTCAAACGCATTCTGTGAAATGGGATTATCCGGAAAGTATAAAGAAACGCAGCCATTGTGAACGGGAAGAAAACTAAAATTATTTGCTTGGTGTATGGCGAAATGGGAAAAGTAGGTTTGAAGAATGTTTGACAAGCTGCTTGTGTGGTGTATTTCGCTCTTTATAAAACTTCGGAAAGCTTTTTGTTCAAAAATTTGCAGAGCGATTTAACAATTATGTTGTGTTAAACATGGTTGCATTTGTTATCTGCAAATATATCGAGAGAAAATTCCTCAAAATAAAAATCCTCAAAAAATACTCAAGCGCACCCGAAATCCGGAATTCACCCGGCTTTTCATGCTAAAGTTGTAAAGACTTTCAAGAAATAAATAAAACACAAAATATACTATTTTTATTTTTAGCAGTCCGGGTTTAGGGCTGGAGCTCAGCCGCGATGAAAATTTCCAGATAGAACTAATCTTCACTTTTTTTTACAAGTTTCGGAGATATGATAGAAATGTAGCGACAGAGGGTCCACCGAAACTAGAAAAATTTTGAAAGTGGTCTACGAGAAAAAAGATTGGAAACTTCTGGTATACACGAAATTGAATTCATACAATTAGATATTAAAAACATACCCCTTTCCGCGACAAAAATTTGTATCTAAATCAAAGAAGAATTTGCATAAATTATATTGGCAGTTATACAAACTAACTAAATTAGGAATCTTTCTCAATGAAAATGCATGTCATTCTGAATAAAAAGTATCAAGTATTGATTAAAATTTTACGATTTTTTTTAATCGTTACAAAGCTAGAAACTTGTAGTTTTATGGATTTTGTTGTAATTAATACAATTTTGATAAAACAAACGATTTTCAAAATATGGGCAAAATGCTGTATCTTTTCCACTGACACGTATACGTATATCTTTTCAAAATACATATTTAAGTGTTAAACTATTAGTGGTATTCATCTAAACCGATAACTTTATCAAGCAGATGTTCTTATAAAATTAAGCACTCAGTTACATGAACTCTCTTTTTGTTTACACTTGCGACAATAGTCGTGTTTCCTTTGGTTATCGAGCTCTGTATCACTAACTTTATACTACTAGCACGAGGATTAAGAAATTTTAGAAATGAACTCACTAAATGGGAACAAATTATATTTTAACGAGTTAATATCCATTAAAATAAATATTTAACATAAAGGCGATTTATTTGAAGCAAGTTAAAAGAAACAATAGCAGAATGTCTGTTTGTGTATGAATTCATTTGTCAGTGTTTCCAAAGTGTGCGGCCAAATTACCCTGTAGTTAGTAAACTTAATTTTGGGTATTAGATTACGGCCCCGTATACCGTTATTATATGTAGATCAAGTCATTTTGGCAAGATATTTTTTTTTAAGCTTGCCTTGTAAATAAAACAAGTAAGAAAGTCTAAGTTCGGGCGGAGCCGAACATTAAATACCCGGCGCAAGTATTAAATATATGTTTTCCACCTTTCCGAAAGCTACCGCTACATGATAAGCCGGGGTGTATACATTTTAAGTAAATTAGCGTCCTTAAATTTCGAAATATTGAAATTTCAAGCATTTCTGAAATTTACCGTTAT